TATTGATGTGATGGCCAGCATGAAGCAGACTTGTGCTGTCAATTCCCTTCCCTTAGCCTAGTGACATCATTACAAAACACAATTACAAATAGCATCCTTGTAACAATGCCAAACTCCAAATACTGTTTTATAGACAGAGCACCCCAAAACCAGAAGCTGCCATAGACAGAAGCGAAGCAGGAAACTCAGTGGAATGCTGTCCTGCAAGATGAGCAAGGAGTCTGAAGATTCATCCATGATGGACTAAAAAGCTGAAGCCAGAAGAGACCACAGGCTTTTGAGGATGTTTTGCTTACACTCTTTAAGAGTGACTCCAAGTGAGGGCAGCCAGGGTGAAGCAGAGGGTTTCACAACTGAAAGAAGACAAGCACTGAAGAGTAGCCTGAAGAGGCTGCTGGGAAACAAATGAATAATGGCAACATTTACAGCTTTATTTGTGGGATTCCAGAATTCTGTGAGCATCCAGATCAACTGGAAAGGGCAGAACTACACACAGCCAACAGCCAAGTCACAGAAATGAGTGACAATGGGCACTGCCTCATTCCCAGAAGAGATGTGCATTTCATGTGGAAGCAAACACCCTGGTCCACAGAGCAGCACTCTACTTACGGAGCCAACCTACACCAATCATCTCCAGTGGTGGGAAAAGATTCTGACTTCACATCCTCCCCTTTCTGTACTGACAGCACAAACCCAAAGGTCTGGCAGGTAAAGCTCTCTCTATGGCTTCCAGCTTAAAGCACTTCAATGATTAGCAAGGCCTACATACCTGGTTGTGAGAGTTTAAGCAACGAGGTATATACTTCATGACAGTCACGTTCCTGTCCAATAACAAAGTGAGCCACGTGGAAGTTCTTGCAGTGAATGAGGAGTGGGTATCCAGCTGTGGTCAGAGGCAGCTTTTCTACAGTTGCAATATGATGGTGCAGGATCTGAAACACAGGAAATAAACAGTGTTTTTCAAAAAGCACTGATAAGGTCATGAGCAGTACATGCAGACGGGAAGTTTTGTAATACTATCAGATATTTAAGCTTGCTGCATCTAACTAGTTTGTGATATTTATCAAACAAACTTGACACCCAGACTCTGCACCCAAAGGCTGGTAACTAAGAGCAAGACTGAAAAGGTAGAGATGTATATAAAACTGAGGCTGATGTGCAGCTCAGTCTACCTAGTTCTCTTTGCCTTCCCCCACCCTCATATGCAATGCATTTTGTCATTCCCATTTTAATTTAGAATTAATTAAAAAATGGTAATTTCCAGATCTGATTTTGCACTTCCTAAAAGCTGTACATTCAGGTTTGGTGGCTTGAGTTTTGTTCCTGGAACTAGCACTAATTGACCTATATCAAGTCACATTACTGTTCCAGCTTCAACACCAGCTGTTTCTGTTAAGCATTTGGTATCAAAAGACCACTACAACACTGGAATTCACAAACCTGTTTGTTTGGGATACAAGATGCAAAGTAATTTTTATACATTTGTCTTAACAGAGTCCAGATATCACAACATACCCATGTTTCTTTCCTGACTTCAGTAGAGGCATCGACATAGATAAGGTGGGTGGCTGTCAGGTATAACGTCCCATTTGCCGCCTTCCTATTTGTGTAGCGATCTAGTAATTTCACATTTTCAACCTGCAACATAGAAAGCGTATGCAAAAATGAATTTAACTGAGTGAAGAAATATCTAAGCATCCGTTGAACCACAATCATTTAACTCCTAATATACAACTTGGGAAGTAAGACAGAAAAATACAAGGAATTAATGTCTCACTCATAACACTAACTCAGCTTTACGCTATAAACTCAAATTATTTCTCCAGCAGTTAAAGCCAAAAAGGTTAAGCAAAGAGCCAGGGTTTAACACCAGTGTGAGCAACAAGATTACTGGATTTGTAGCCAAGACAATCACAGTTTACTACTGTGCAAGGCTGCAGAAACAGTAAGTCAAAGAGCTGTGAAAAAAAAAGACTGTCCATGTTCAGTATAATCAAAGTATTCCTCCAAAAGAAACAGCCCTCTCCAGTCCAACTTCCTCCTGCTCAGTCACTATAAACAAGCATTAGTAGCTACTTCTCCTAACACACTTCTTAGGCATGTAGGTGCATTTCATAAACCACACTGAGTTAATTAAAAGAAACAGTTTATAAGAACATCAGCACAAACATAATGGAATGTAAAGTTTAAAGTACTGCACATTATTTGACTAATTTTCCCTGGGCCTATTTGCTTCTTGAGGAACACAGATGGAATTTCTTATTCATCATTAATCATCATTAAGCAAAAATCATGGAAACCAACCAAACAAAAAACCCCAACTAGATGCATGGGAACAGTTCAGCAGCACACCAATACTTTAGTTCTGGGTATGGAATACAGAGGTTTCCTTGGGGGGTCATTAGCAAAGTTAAAGCATGGAAAATGCCAGCAGATAAACTGGAAGAGCAGAGGTCTGGGCCGTCTTCCTGGGACATCACATTTTCCAGCACACACAATAGTTAGATCTAATATTGCCCTTTTTCAAGCCACTAGAGACAAGCAGGTCCAGCAAAGCCCCTCAGGCAACATGGGCAGGGAGCATCCCCAAACTAGTATCACAGTGAATAAACCAACACAAAACACAGCAACCAGCGTCTTTAAAAAAGAATACTGATTAAAAGCTCAGCTGCCGGAGGTAAATATGATTCCTCCAGCTGTCATGAGCACCACATTCCCAGCGCCCCGTTTCACTTCACACAACTGGAAAAGCACATTTTGATTCACCTCTTTACACTGAGGGAGCCTCCACACTTTGATATGAGCGAAGTTCACACGAATCGCACCCAAAACACCTTTTGGCCAGTATCTTTACTAAATATTTCCTTTCCAACAAGGCGACACAGTAAGAAATATGTATCTCAAGTAGCTTTAAACCTTACAGGCTTCTCCATAACCCGCTTGCGAAGCGCAAGTGATGCTCACGGATAACACGGCGCTGACTGGAAACACGGCCAC